GTTTGCCACTCCATGTTTCGGGGATTAGGTTAGCGGTTACCACCACTAAACAGCAGGTCTTCGTGACTATAGGTTGTTTTTCCCCGTCTGGTATTCATCACACGCAAGTGTCTAATAAAAAACCGATCTGGCATGAGACTATGAGAACCCTGGTCAGGAAACTTGCTGATATGGGTCGCGTTGGGGTTCCTATATGGGGACATAGGGATTAGCGTAATCAATGGTTAGAGACGGTGATATGACTGAGTGTCGCAGTCAGTGGCACTCGAGCGTCTGCTCAATGTGCTTACAACTTCAGTCTTTATCAATTCTCTGTTTTCACTCGGACACTGATTGGAGCATTCCTTTGTTCCCTTTAATCCTTCATCCAAATGGACAGCCATGAGACAGCAACCAAAGGCGGTGCACGTAGGTTCATGTTTAATGGTTTTAAAAACTAAAATTTACGTTTATCAGGTCGATCGAAGAGCTGATTAGATGCGTACACTCTGGTTTCTGTTCAGTTTCAATTGGCACAATTACCGACCCTAAAATTTTGGTCCTATCGGATTCATTATGATCAGTTCTTATGTTCGCCGCCACTATAAATTGTATCTGCTAGGCCACTTGCTGTCCGCCTAGCACTTTCTCGCTACTAGGACTTAGAGATTTTAGCACCTGGGACTAATGCGGGACAGGCAAACACTTAAAAAGCGATAACCCTACAGCTTTCGTAGCATCATCAACATTCGTATTTATTTCGCATGTGTATAATCACTGTCACTCAATTATACTTAAGCTTAGGATTTCAACATTGGCTCGTGGTTCAAAGGTTCATGAGAAGTTTCCGTTGTGAATTTGTGATTTACACCTGTCATATTGCTTTCTTCATAGTGTTCCGAAAGTAAGCTATCATTTCGAGCTCATTGTTCTCTGTTTTTCTAATCCAGGTTTGTCGACAGATCTCTCCGTTGGGAAAGTGCGTTATCCTGTCTAACACCAGTGTGGCATTCACGAACACAACCACTAACACTTCACAACGTCCACCGGCTCCTCGTGGCAGTTTTCACTCTCCGCTGTTCAGTTTTGGCGATAGTATCAATGTGGATAGTGAAGTTCATCAGCTCATTTTGTCCAATAATCACACACCAGATTCTGTTCGCGCATCCGGCAGTCGACTCCCTCGTCGTATTGTTGTCCCGCGTACCGTAAATGCTACTCAGTCACCGTCCTCTCAATTGATCCGACGCACCTGGCGATCTTTGTTTCCCACACAAGGTAATTCAGGAGGTGAAGCAGATCGCGTATCCCAGTCTTTGGAGAGGCCACGCAGCTCCTCGGCCGAGTCAAGAGCCAGCGGCGGTCTTCGTGAGAGAGAAAGTAGCGATAATTTTCTTGCTGATGAAGAAGAGGCGGAAGCTGCCGCGGAAACAGCGGAGGATGACTCGAATGAGATGGACTCAAGTCGTTAATGCTCTTGATAAAAACTCTTGCCTTTATCCCTTTCCCTCTCAACCCCTCCCCCCTCTTTGGCACATTAGGTACGTTTATCCATCCTCTCTTGTACCACTGTTAGATGTATATGCTTCCATGTATAACAGGTTGTTTTCACTAGCACGCTTGTGAGTACGGTGGGTGATGGGTCATTTTAGTTGTGAATTCATCTAGACTAAGGTTCTGGCAATGAAACACCCTAGTCTTTTAACTGTTCTTACCTCCAGCACTGTTCCTGTCTATGGAGTTTCGTTGCACTTTCAAACTAGACACGAAAGAATAGCTTCATTCCACCGGTTTACCTTGGGACTATTCCCGACGGGCGTCTACCGATTTAAGCGGTTGGGAAATGTGTTACGTTATATACGAAAGCAGATAAATATTCACGTGTCTGATTCCATTCTAATTGGTTATCAAAGAATCAGCCCCTGATTTCCCCGAGGTTCGAATATTGCGAGTTCCTCAGACCAAAGCACGTGATTTTTCTGGAAGGTTAACAATCTAAACCTTTGACTAGCTTAAGTTTGAGACACAATACAGCGGGGTGGTGTGAAAAATGCAGTCTGTTGTGGTTCTCGTGATGGTTATACGACCCTTGGGCGCGGTTCGCGCATCCCCATTGGCCTATCAAGCTGGTAACTATCGTAACTAGGACATTCTCAAATCACCCTTTATGCCTGGATAATAGCTTTTGCCCCTTTTCTGGGGGTGAAAAGGCAGTCATGTGGATTTCCCCATTGGAGGCTTTGAGGAACGCACTTTACAAGCTCGTTTATTGGTGTGAGGATACTCTCAGAGAGAATGGAGGCTTTTCAAGTCCGAGAAACTAAATGAGGAAGGAACTTGGTCCACGGCCAGATGATTCGATACAATGAACACCAAGTACGAATTCTGCGCGCAATACGAAGTTCTTCCAAGGACTGACGTGTACCTGTTTAAACAATCCGATCCATTTACTTGGTCTTCGCCAGGTCTGGTCTGTGCTTGCACTTCCCCCTATACAACATACCTTTATAGGACATTGTGGGTTATCAATCCGTAGTAAAACATCGCCCATTTATGTTAGATCAAGTAACACTTGTGTTGAAGTTACGTATCATTTTTGGAGCAACGCGTTACGCGTATTTTACAACATTTATAGATGCATTCATGATGCCTTGAATCAGGGCACTATTGATTATCAGGTTCCGGGATTAATGGTTTCACCGACGGTCGTGAGGACAGGCTCACGCATAAGTAGAGACTAGCGCTTACCGAATAATCGTCAGAATTGGATCCGAATAGGTACTGGGTGCTCTGGCCGAATTTAATGCTGTGGTGATCAATCAATCGATCTGATATTGATGTACACGAACGCGCAAAATTCTACAACTAATATTCATTGTTCCACCGATGATAGTCAACCTTTGTTCCCACCGGGTTCCTATCTCCCCCTTCTGCTCGTGCTCTACAACTAGCTTTAGGCCAAAGGATGCCTGCGATTATGCTTGTGGAGGAATCTTCGCTATATAGGACACGACCTGTGCGCGTAACAGTCACCGCGGATGCCTGGTCCACTCTGCTGACAGCAAATCTGAATGCTACCGGGAGCGTCTTCAGGTAGCGAATCGCAGAGTGATTGCATTAGTCGTTGGACGGTAATGAGAAGACAGCTGCTCCCGATTAAACGGTCGTGGATGATCAGCTTCGTTGTTTGAGGGTAATGAGCTTCAGTTTCAGTTTTTGCAACCATTAACCATGCACCTTCGTACGCGGCTTTTCGTCACTGTCTTATGGATGCCTGTATGGATAAGAGAGCAAAATGAAGATAAGAATGTTGGGAGCAAATTCAAGGGAAGGATAGAGGAGAATTCATATAGACTGGGATTGCAAGAACAATGAGTAGATGCATGAGTGCTACTGTTTCCGAAACCCAGACATATCGCTCAATGTCTCTAACCACCAGTGATCATGATCTCAGGGTCCCCAACCAGGGAGCCTAACGGGACCTATGTGATTTAGTCCCCTGGTTAGGGTTTTCATACCCTCATGCCATATTTCGCTTAACCACCCTTGACCTTTTCCCATCCACTACCTGCCTCGGCGATCATCGCTCGCCGTGGCAACCTATCTGGTGAAATGCGTATCAAATGCCCCAACCAACGTAATCTATGCAGGTCAACTACTTGTTCTAGTGGGCGATCACGATTACCTAAAACTCTGCCCCTGACTTCAGCATTGCTCGTCCGGTTACCCCACCAAACTCGTGCAGTGTGACATAGACAGTGGTGTTCGAGCACCAACAGTCTATCTGTATCTCGCTCCCGTAATAACCAAGTCTCTGCACCTTGGAGCAGAACTGGCCGAACTGCTAC